GAAGACGACATGCAGGATGAAGGTCCAAATAAAACAAAGTATCATTTGTGTTGAAGCACTTGATATTAAAAGTGAAAGAGAATGCAGTCGGCTGTCAGAATTGCAAAGCAGAACTTAAAAATCACCACGGCACATCTGTAATGCAAATACATCTTAATAGAATACAATCAGGTTTGACAGTCTCACCCGATAATCCGAGGTTAGCCATAGCTACAGTATGTCCCATTTAGCCTCTTGAAGTAGCCTATAACCTGCCTTTGTCATCACTTAAATTATTTTCATTATTATGATTCCACTATGTCAAAATAATCACTGTTAAATTTAAGATTAGCCTGTTGTTTTGCCGCACCATTTTTCATAAAAGGGCACATAATAACTAATTAATATTAAAAAAATTTTGTTAACGTATTGTGAGACTTCCCAGACCAAGGACTAAAAGGACTAACGCAGGCACTCAACAAGCACTAAACCACTATAGCAGGGAAATGCATTGAGCTTTGACGCCAGACTGTATGGTGCATTCACGGTGAGTAATTTATGCATGGCTAAAGACACGTGAGGGTCAGACAGGGTTCACACAAGACACAGGCAAACATACACGCGACAAAAGGGAATACAAGAAGTATTGAAAATAACAAGAACAAGGAGCTATTTATAATTACCCAGCATGCTCTGACACTACACTGCCCCCTTCTCAGAGGTTAACCATTCTGCCATCCACCACAGCCAGTCCTCCATCATATCCACTAGCATGCTGCCAGCAGGCTCTGGTGATACATGTTTCCCCTGACCTCAGCCCTTTTTCTTTTGTGGCTTTGTGGAGACATGATGTTGTGGACTGGTTCTCTCAAAGGGCCTCCTGCTTGCTGGATTGGGTGGCCCTGCTCAGCTGCTCCAATTTCTGCTGGTACTGGCTGTACTGCTCCTCTAGCTCACCACGCTCCCTTGCCAGCTGGGCCTTCGGAGCATGGCATGCCCCCTTTCTCTTGTGCAGCACAGCCTCTGTGGTTTCGGCCTCCTGTTCCTGGCAGTCATACTCACACTCCCATTAGGCCAGCTGCTTGTGCTCCTCCTCCATGTTCTGTCACAGCTGCTCCTTGTCTTGCTTGCTCTGTGCCCGCTCCCAAACAAGCTGGGCCTCTGTGGTATGTAACGGCTCCTCACATGCGAGTAGTGCCACTTCTGCCCCTCCCTGGCTGGTGAACTGCTGGAGTTCTCACCTTCACTTGTCATCGACATTTCGGATGGGGGTCTGGTAGGCTGGCATGGGTGGCTTGAGGCTGTGCTGTACAGGTCCTGGGCACAACAGCAGGTCCGAGGTCTAGTGGGTTGGCAGGGGCGGCTTCAGAGCACACTGTATTGGTCCAGGGTTCCCCGCAGGACGGGGCAGTACCTTCCTTGCTGTTATCCCTTGCTTGTCTGCCAGCGGCTCTGGCACAGACCTTCAGGCAGTGGCATGCCCAGTGCCCTTTCCTCCCACAGCACCAGCAGACAAGACTCCTGCGGTGTGTCCGAAATCGCGCACTTGCGCACTTTTAATGCGCGATTTTAGGGCATAGTGCAGGGGTCATCAACTATATTTGTCAGAGGGCCAGAGTTT